GAGAGAGAGAGAGAGAATTTATTTATTTACTTATTTATTTTAGTTCTTGGCGGACACAACATCTTTGTTGGTATGTGGTGCTGAGGATCGAACCCGGGCCACACGCATGCCAGGCAAGCGCGCTACCGCTTGAGCCACATCCCCAGCCCCACCAGTTCTATTTTTAAATTAAATTAATTTTTTTTTCAGGAGGGCAATACTGGGGATTGAACCTAGGGCCTTGTGCATGCTATAGGCAAGGCTCTATCACTGAGAGATATCCCTAGGCCTTTTAATTTATTTATTTTAAGATAGTATTTTACTAAGTTGCTCAGATTGCTTTGAACTTGAGATCCCCGTCTTAGTTTCTCAAATAGCTGGGATTACAGGTGAGCACCAACCACACTTGGCTGATCATCAATTCTAAATGTCTTTAGAATTTACATCAACCTCTACCAAATATGGCTAAGATCTTTCATCCTAACTGCAGCAATGGCTACCCTCTCCAGTTAGAGCTGCTCAAAATTAGTGCTCAGCTGGAGGGCTTGTTAATACAGAGAAAGTATGAGGACTGCCTCAGTCATTCAGGGCATTGTAAGTACTCAACGTAAACTGTTACTAAATATACCTTAGAATGTTATTAAAGCATGTTAGTCAGTATTTCACACTATATATGTAAAACTGTATTCAATTGCATAAAATTGTGAGATGCTTATTTAGTATTCATATTATCCACGTGGGTGGCAGGGAGAGCCTTTGCTTTCTGCACAAAATCATTAAAAATATTATAAAAAGTTACCTTCAGGCTGTGTACTAAAGATGTGTATGAAAACATAAATCAATTTATGTTTAGACTTGGGCCCTATCCCCATGTTATATCATTTATGTATATTATGCAAATATTTCAAAATCTAAAAAAATCYAAACCCCCAAAGTTTCTGGGTCTAAGCATTTAGGGTAAGGATCACTCTACCTGTACATACCTGAAAGCCACCTACACATCAGGAGGAACGATCCTGACCTTTCTGTAACAAAGAATCTTCACTTTTATTTTCATCTTGTCAAGTTTTCTAGACAGTTGCTAAGAGCATATTGCAATAGACACTCAGGAAGTTTAATCTACATTAGGTATGTCTTCAACACACACTGAGTGGATAACAACATTTATTATTATTATATTTTATGATAAAATATTATATTTTGCTTGGCATTTAGAATTTTCAATGTGCTTTCACATACAACTTTTGGTTTGCTCTTCTTAACAAGTGCATATAAGGTGAGAAAGGTCAGGTGCTGGACCTGTGATATCATGTGGCCATTAGTGAGGGCAGTCAGTCTAGAGAACTTCCCCCGATTTTTAGCTCAGTGCATTTTCTATTACATAAAGCTGCCTAAGTACTAGCCAGAATTCTCTCTTCTCAAGTAAAACATGAGACAAAAATGTGAAAAAAAGATAGTTTAGGAAGTGCATATATAGAAATTTAACCATTAAATCTTAAAATGTAGCTGAGATATATTTTAAAAAGCTTTTCAAGTAAATATCACCTTGATATTTTTTACTTTTAAGAGCAAATAGGTTAATATTTACTTATTTTTACTGTGTACCAATCCTCATTTATTAGTTGCATATAGTTTAAAATGTACTAAGGAATGTATTTGGCTTTTATTGGGAAGGGTGGTTCTACCTTGACCATAAAAGTCATTCTTTTATAACAGCAAAGGTATCTTCAGTATAGGTAAAGATCTAATAATGCAAAAGTAAAATTCATATAGAATCTACAATGGATAAACAGTTGACTATAGTAATCTAAAGAGATACTACAAGATATATATTTATTTTAAAAATAAATTATTGATTGATTAACTTAGGTTATTGAATGTCATATGGATAATAGGCATTTTCAAAGTCTGTGTGTTGAGAAATAATATTGGAAAGATCTGAAAATATGTGTAGTTTCTACTTACTTGAAGCATCTTGGGCCTGTTGACTTCTTCTCAGATTTTCTCTTAATACTCTTATCACTTCTTTTTGATAGTCTATAGTGGCTTTTGTAGAATGAATTCTAACAAGAACAATAATAAAAATATAGCAACTAATTTTCTATGGAAGAATAAACAGAATCTTTGTCAAGAATTTTGTAATATGATGCATTGTATTAGCATAGTACCCATAAGTAGTGGTAGATCATCCTGCATAATCTCTCTTTATATGATGCCCATTATGGCTATAATGCCAGCAAATTCCAAGTATTTTGTTATAGGAACACTCCAATTTTCTTAATATTGAGAAACCAGTTCTAAAATTTCTGAAAGCTCGATAGCTATTAATTGGCTATTAAGCCAAGTTATATTTGGAGATGCTATAAAACAAACAGTTGGGCTGCTATCATGGAGTCACAGAATGGTCTTGAAGGTACAATTACCAGAGCAAGAAAGAGAAAAGCAGTTTCATTTCTACACTGTCAGGAAAGCAAAGCCTGATTGCAGGTCTGGTCTAAGGTGAAAGAGTCAAAGGTCAAATTCTGATCATTGTTTCCCAGTAGAAAGACATTTTATGAATTGTTGGTTTAGATATTAATAGGCAATAAGAAATTTTAAGACTTTCTGTCTTTCTCAAAAACTATAAAAGTATTTTGATTCTATAAGTAAAAGCTTTTTTCTTAAAAAATAATTAAGGACCTAATAGTGGAAGGTAGCTAGGCAGCACAAAGACTTACAGAGTGCTACATTTTGAGCAGAATTAGAGATTATTAGATATTTATTCAAGATTAGGAAGAATGAAGAATGCTAGGATCTAGAAGACCTCTTAAGACATCCTATAATAACCCTCTCCTTTTATTGATTGTGAATGGAAGGATCTGACAGGTTAAAGAGCTTGTTTAAGGTAATGCATTAATAAGTGAGCAGCACTTCTAATTCAGTTTCCCTGACTCTCTGTTTAGTGTTCTTTTCATTATTATAGATAGAAGCATGCTCTTATAAGTGTGTGTGTGTGTGTGTGTGTGTGTGTGTATTAATAAAAAGAATATGCTCTGGGGTCCTAGGTACCTATAAATGAAAAGAAAATACACTCTTATATATGCACACACAGAGACTCACACAGAGACATGTATAAGTTCTTAATGTTCACTTCTAAGCATGAAAAGGCCATTTTAAGTTGTTTATACCCAATTGAGAAGGAAGCATTCAAAAAAGTATGTTAATTGATCAGAACTGTCATTAACATAAAAAACTTTATATGACAGTTTAGTAAATTTAAAAATTTGTGGGTTTGTATTTTTTTTAAAGCACTAACATTTTCATAAGTTTCTTTTTAAAAAGTTAACTAATACAAAGATATTTATGTAGTTTAGAAAGAAAAGCTATTAAAGCCATGTTCAATTAAAGCTATAACATACTCCTTCTCAAATTCCTTGGCAGTTTTCATCTTCTCTAAGTCTATTTTCACCAGCTTTGTTTTGAGATCTTCAATTTCTTCTTTATAGGGTTTGGCTCCTAAAGCAACTTGGTCCTAATAGTTACAGAAAAAAGAAAAGTAAAATAATGATTACAGTAGTCCTATATCTCTGGTTTTAAAGAAAAGTTAGCTGCCTTTATTCTAGTAGACATATTTTAAAATAGCAAACCACTTCAAGTATAAGAAAAACAAGAAAGGCATTAATTCTAGTTGAATAGTAACTAAACATTTGATGTAAGGTATATTTGAAGCTAATATATATAGACATATGATTTTTATGTCTTAAAACAAGTACTATTTTGCAATGAAAAAAGTGATCTATGTACAAAATGAAACAGATAGATTGAAAATAATGAAATGGGCGGACAAAGATGAAGCAGGAAAAGGAAACAAAAGATGCTGGAGCAGAAATGTAAACATTAAGTGGAACTCAAATTCAAGCAACAACACATTATTGGGAATATTTTTATACAGAAAGATAGCTCAATCAGTGATACAAATATATCTGCTTTCCATTCAGAGAACATATACATACTCATGTGCATTAGTAAATCTTAAAAAAAAATTGAATAGATTATTTTATACAGAAAAATTGAATGGAAAACATGGAGAGTTCCCATGTATACAGTGTCCCATACCTTCTTTCCTATTATTACATTCATGCATTATTAGTATGGTACATTTGTTACAACCAATGAACTGATACCAATATGTTATTAATTAATTAAAGTCTGTATTTACTTTAGAATTTCTTAGATTTCCTATGCTCTACCTGTTCATCCTGGTATGCCTCCCCACCAACTCTAACGTCACATATTTGAAATTGTATACTAGGCAGCCTTTTCAGATTGGATACTTTCACTTAGCAATATGCATGTCTACCATGTCTTTTCATGACTGCATAGCTTCATAGCTCATTTCTTTTATCTGATAAATGATATTCCTTTGTATCAACATAATTATGATGTATTTATCCATTCACCTCTTAAAAGAGGTCTTGATTGTTTCTAAGTTTGGGCAATGATGATACAGCTGCTATAAATGCACATGCATAGCTTTTTGTGCAATGAGTAAATATCAAGGAGGACAACTGCTTGATCATATTGAGGCTGGGGGGCAAAAGGACAGTCAATGTAGATAATGAAAGACTGGGACAGGAAGATGGGGGCTGATTCAAGAGGAAATAAAATGTTAATATCTTCAGGACACTTCCCCTCCTCCATCCTGTTGCCAAGGTTACCTGCTTCTAGGGAATTGTTCCTCCMTGCAAGGAGGTGTTAATTAGTAGCCCTTGGGTGACTCTCTTCCTGCCTTTCTGGGCAACTCCTCTCCTGGTTTTTGGTCATTGGCCACAGGCAGGATGAGAACAGGAGTGGGCATGAGAACAAAGGAAATCTAAAATCTATAAAAGGGACAAGGACACCCCCACTCCCTTAGGCACCAACTTGGGTCCCCTCTTTTGCGGAGGAGCCCCTGTCCCTTTCTCTGTTCTATCCTTTAAATAAAGCTTTTTGCTCTTGTCTTGGAGTTTCTCAGATGTTTAATCTTCAAAACTGGGGGAACAGGACTAGAACCTGATTCTCAACACTGACATCAATATTGTAAGAAAACATTTAATTACTAAGAAACTGCCAAACTGTATTTCAAAGTGGCTAGATCACTTCACATTCCCACAATGAGTGAGAGCTCCTGTGCTCTACATCCTTGCTGGGATTTGGTGTTTGTCAATGTTTTGGATTTKGGCCGTTCTAAAAAGAGTGTAGTGGTACCTAATTAATTAAAATCACCATTTCCTAAAGTCTATTTTTCAAAGAGAAGTCTTTAAAGAAATTAAGTCAGAATGTAACACTGTTTTTGACAAAATTCTCCAATGGCCCTCAAGACCCTTTATGATCTGTTTCACTGCAGCTTCTTGCCTTATTTTCCACCCCTGTCTTCACTCTACTCTGAATATAGTGACTTTCTTGTTTCTCAAACCTGTCTAGAATATTTGATTCTGGGTCTGTGCATGTGCTATTTCCTTTGCCTGGAAGACTCTTCTCTAGTCAGTTTGCCCCAGCACTTCTTTTAGATCATCTTATTGTTGACTTTTCTTAACTCTCTCTCTATAAAAATCATCTCTTTGCTTGCACATGCCCACCATTACCCAGAACCCACATACTCCTTGTCTGACTCATTTCTTTTTCTATTATACTTTTTATCATATATTTATATATTTTTTCCCCTTTATAAGAGCAAAATGTATTTGTTGTAACAAACAATCCAGGGATTTAAATTTTTTTTTTTCTCCCTCCTGCCCACTGTGAGAAAAGCATATAGCCTTCTGTCTTTGGGTACATCACACCAATAAACGGTTCACAGACCTTTTTCCTACTTGTTACCTTTTACTCATCAGACTGCTCTCTGCATGCAGTGGTGGGCTTTACCTACTTCTCAGGCCAACAGTCTAACTCACTGTTTCCCTCCACCTACCTAATGTATCCTAGTATGAGAGTATATTATAATCTAACGTTTTCTCTGTTGGCAAACATTCAAGTTGTTCCCTTTTATTTTGTGGTACCAGGGATTGAACCCATGGGTGCTTAACCACTAAGCCACATCAGTCCATTTTTGTATCATATATTTACATTTTAAAATCAATTAATTTTCTGTCTCCTCATACCAGAAAGCAAGTTCTTTGACTTATATTCTGGACTCCTCTGTTGCCACATAGTTGGTGCTCAGCAAATACTTATTGAATAAATAAAATGTGATTGTTTAATTTGTAATATTAAAAATTTACTCTCAAACTTTTTTCTCTAGTTTATCTGCTCATGTCTCAATGAATGGATCAGACTTTTTAGAAGAATGCTAACCATGAAAAGAGAAGGCATTTTTGACTTGTTCTTAATTTTAGTGGGCTGAAGAGACACTGAAGCAGAAACACACTTCTATATTATCAGTTTCAGACTTGAGGAAAAGAATTATGAAAAGTGGTTGGAGCAAAACAAAAGGGAGTGATAAGGAAACGATGAATAGAGGTGTGACTTCAAGGATACTGAAATTCAAAAACATTTAAACCACCATTCTTTCCAAAGAAAATTGGCCTGATTTAGCCCACAGGACACCAAGTGGGTCTCAGTAATAAGAACAGCAAGTAGAAAAAAATAAAAACATACTTAATCTACTGGTGTTTATACATTTATTATGGTGTTATATATTTAGATAAGAAGCACACTATTTTTGAAAAATAAAAAATGCACATTTTCAAGTATAAACAATGTTGACATATCTTAAAAAATTGCTTTTCTAGCATGACAAAATTAACCAATATTTTACATGAAAATATACTCCTATTCCTAAAAACACTTGGAATGGAACCATTGTATACCCAAGGGATTAAAAAAGTGTATTACAATGATGTGGCCAAATCAATGTTTATAGAAGCTCAATTCATAATAACTAAACTGTGGTACCAACCTAGGTGCCCTTCAACAGACGAATAGATAAAGAAAATGTGGCATATACACACAATGGAATATTACTCAGTCATAAGGAAGAATGAAATTATTCTGACATTTGCTGGTAAATGGATGGAACTAGAGACTGTCATGTTAAGTGAAATAAGCCAATCCCCAAAAAAATAAAGGCCAATTGTTCTCTCAGACATGCAGATGCTGGGCTGGGGATGTGGCTCAAGTGGTAGCGCGCTCGCCTGGCATGCGTGCGGCCCGGGTTCGATCCTCAGCACCACATACAAAGATGTTGTGTCCGCCAAAAACTAAAAAATAAATATTAAAAATTTCTCTCTCTTTAAAAAAAAAAAAAGATATGCAGATGTTAACACAATAAGCAGAGGAGGAAAGAATAGAAGTTTGTTGGATCAGACAAAGGGGAATGAAGGGAAGGGAGTGGAGATGGGAATAGGAAAGACAGTGGAATGAATTATACATAAGTTTCCTATGTTCATATAGGAATAAATGGCCAGTGTAACTCCACACCATGTGCAACCACAAGAACGGGATCCTAATTAGAATAAATTATACTCCATGTATGTACAATATGTCAAAATACACTCTACTGTCATGTATATCTAAAAAGAACAACAATAAAAAGATACTCTTGCATTTCATTTCTAAGTTGTTCCTTCTTTTAAAGATTGAATAATGAGCTTCAGACATATATATGTCATAGGAAGTTGTGGTGAGACTGGGAGAACAGAGCATCAAATTATTTGTCAAATTTAACAGTTAAAGTAAAATGATAGCATTTACTAATAAAATGAGGTTAAGTTACCTGAAGTGCTTGCATCTTTTCTTTTGTTTTTTCAAGACATTTATTTGATTCATTAATTTTGGCTTGAAGTTTTGCTATAATGTTATTGGTCATTTCAAGTTCTTTCTGCATCTTTATTATCTTGCTTTCCTTATGTACAGCACTTTCTTTAGCTTCACGTAAGGAATTTTCCAGTTCCTGAATTCTCTGTTAGAGAAAGCATATATTCATTAGTTTTTTGTTTTTTTTTTTTGTACCAGGGATTGAACCCAGGGGTGCTTAACCACAGAGCCACATCCCCAGAAGAGAGGCCAAATATCACTCAATCTATAGACATGTATTGCTTTCATTTGGAAGTAACTGATYTTTGGATTTAAAAATGACAAAAATTTAAATCATATAATCTGTCAACAAATACTTAAACCATGAATGTGAAAACAGCACAGTGTTGATGTTATTTACTGGTTAGTTGAGTGCTAAGCACATTAAAGAAGCACTCATTTTAAATTAACACTATCAGAAATATATTTGTTAACTGATTTTCTAAGTAATGTACATAATACCTTTTCCTTTACTTTTGTTAATTAGTTTTGAAATTGAAAAAGGTAAACACGGGGAAAATTTAAAGGTACATGATGAAAAGGTAGTTTCCACCTCAGATCCCAGTTGATTCTGAGGCAATGACTGCTAAACTTTTCAAGTGTACTTTCCCAGGAATTTTCTCTAAGCATCTAAGCACATGTGAATATAGTTTATAAAAATAGTTACTCATACACTATATACTAAACATAAAGTTCTGTTTTTAAACCAGTATTTTTTTGATCTTTCTATTATCAATATATATAAATGTCTTCCATTTTTGTTTTTATGGATACATAGCATCCGATTTCATGGAAATATCATAAATTATTTATTCAGTCACCACAAATGAAGATTGAGGTTATTTCCAGTTTCTCACAAGTATAAATTATCTTAGGATAAACTTAAATACCTGAATTTTTTTTCATGTTTATCAGATTATTCACATGTACACACATTTTTTTCTGTCTGTGAAATGTCTGTTGCTTTATGGTCCACCTAGAATTTATTTTTTGTTTAGTGAGTCTTATTTCTTTTCCAGATGACTAGTTCGTTGTTTCAAATTATAAGTAAACAATTTTTCCCTGTAGAGTTGAACATTACCATAATTGTGTGTGTGTGTGTGTGTGTGTGTGTGTGTGTGTGTGTATATATATATATATATAAAATTCTTAAGGCTTAATGGAATGGGCTTCTGAACTCAGTTCTGTTCCACCGCTATACTTGTATATTCCTGCATAATTGTCAAAGTAGTCTAATTATAATAGCATATGTTTTCTTATCCATTAGAGTGTTTTCTTGGGTCACCAAAGACAGAATTTCTTTCTGCTTCTTTAAATTATTGCTTTGGTAAATGGGTTTCATCTTTGCTCTATTCTAAGTCTATCAGATGATAGTTCTCTTAAGATCACCAAATCAAAAAACTGCAAACTAGTGATCTTCTAGTTTCCACTGGTAATTAATTATTAAAGTAGTGGCTGACATTTCATTACAAGTAAAAATGATAAATTGTAATTTACTCGTAGAATCCCCACTAAATCATTTGTGTGTTAATAAAATAAGGTAGCATATTTTCTAATGTTTAACAACTCCTAAGGTTAAGTAATAATGTAACAGATTATTCAAATAATCTACTGACTCTTAGACACAAGTTGATATGTATAATTATTCTGTTATAATTTTAGCCTCTTCCCTTTTTATTGTGACTGAAATATTAACCAATATTAAAAGAAATGATAATTAGAAAAAAGCTAAAATTGTTATTTTTCTCTAAGCTTATATTGGTTTTGCATATAGACAGATTATAGTTTAGTATAAAGTCAGATGATTTAGGAAGTTTATAATATATAGTAATAAAAATTTAAATGGGTAATCACTTAAATTATAGTATATGAATTTAGTATTCAAATTAAGCTTTGATTTACCTCTGTTTTATGATACAAAGGGTAAATCTTTATAATTTCTAGACTTAAAATTATTTAGCTGAGTGATATCCAGAACTATATATAAATATCTAGCTCATCACACACACAAAATATTGTGTTCACATTCCTTAATAAATGTAGTCAATACTATGATTTTGCTCTAGACTCCAGGATGAAGCTAAAAATTAAAGAATATCTTATAAGAAATTGCATACCTCTGTTAGTTGTACAGCTCTTGATGTAACATGAGGATTTTTATTGTCTTGTACAATAGGATTAGCCTGGGCACCAGATATTGGGGAGACTGTCAAAGTTTGGTAGTCTTCAAACAGTTTTTTATTTTTCTCTATTATTGATTTCAGGTCATGTTCCCATTCTTTTGATCGGGTTACACTTCTTTCCTCGAACTCTGTTGATTCATTTATTATACCCTATTGAACAGTAAAACATTACAGCTCTAAAATGATTTATATATTCAAGCACTAGAATTCTAGTACAATGCATATGCTGAAATTCATTATTTAGAAGGCCCAACACCCTAGAACAATGCTTTTAAAGAATGAACATTCTTTGTGATTTGCACAAATTTTTTGAAATTATAGATATTGGATGTTGATTATGAGAGTAAGATAATCCCAGCTTTATTGGATCTGTACTAGCACATGAAGAGAAGCTACAATATTAATCTAGTTTTTTTTTTTGCTCTAATTTCACACATACAAGAAGTCTTTTGATACTATATATCTTACCAATTATGCAGATTAAAATCATTATAGATGTTATGGTTGATGACGAGCTATTAAGTGCCATCTAACAGCAGAACACTCCTAATAAACTTAACAGTTATCTATTTTCCTGCTTCATTTTAAACTTCAATATTTTTAGGGAAAATAACTGGTCGTTGGTAATTAATATGGATATCTTTCATTTCTGTGCAGAGAATAACATGTCATCAATACTCTTTTTTACAATGAAGGCTAATTCTAAAATTAATCATATAATAAACACTTCCTAATTCCTATGGGATATACTTTTTGCTCTTATGAAGAATGTCTTATTGGTCTCCTCTATAACTTCTTTGTGGTTTTATGGTCATTCTGCTAGGACGGGATCTTAAGTTAGTTGTGTTCTTTCTGATATCCTGGACTCTTTGGCTCTGGTTTACTGACTTTGCATCGTACAAAGTTATTGACTCCTACCCTCAGGGTGCTAAAAGAAGCCATATTCATGCTGACACAGCAGCAATCCCTACTTTCTAAGCTACTTACAGCTGATACCTCAATATTATAAGAAAAGCTTTGAATTATAGAGAGATTATTTTGTTTTGTGCCTTTCTCCATTGATTGTGATCAAGTATGTTTGAAATAGCCTATTACTGTTTTGTTCGTTCTGGTTATTCTACAAATAGGAGGAACTACCCGTGGAAAACATTTTTTCATCCCTTCTTTCAATGTGATTTTAAATATAGTCTCCAGATGAAATTAAAGTATCAAAAAAGAACTATTCAAACATATGAAACACAAAACCAATCTTGGAAGCTACCATATTAATCTATTCTTTTTGCTCTAATTTCACACATACAAGAAGTGCTTTTGATACTATATATCTTACCAATTATGTAAGGAAGAGATTATACCAATGAGCACTATGAATATAATAATCACTGAAAAGTAAAACAAATTAACAACCTGTTGTTGGTTCTTATGAATCAGTACATTGGGACTGATCATGAAGGGAACAAAGATAAAAATCTCGATTTTGCAGATTCTGGTCCAGCACGTCAAGAATTCAGAAGTTACCAGTCCATCATAACAAACAGAAAGCAGAACTGAAAAATCAAAACTCTGACTAGATCTATCAATGCAGTTAGGTCACAGAAATAGACCTATAGTCAACTCATTTTTGACAAAAGAGCAAAAGCCATAAATAGAGCAAATATGGTCTTTTCAATAAATGGTGCTGGAGCAAAGGGACATCCACAAGCAAGAAAGTGAATCTAGACACAGACCTTACAAGCTTTATAAAAAGTTAACTCACAATGGAATACAGAATTAAATATAAAGTATGAAACTTTAAAATCCCAGAAGATAACATGGGAGAAACCTTGATAACCTTGAGCTTAGTGATAACCTTTTAGAAACAACTTCAAAGTCATGATCTCTGAAAGAAATAACTAACAAGCTAACTCTTTAACATTAAAAACTCCCAGGAATTTCTGCTTCATTTTGTTATAAAATTAAAACCAGCCTAAAAAAATAAAGTTTATTAATACAAAAAATAGACACATTTTTGATCCTCAAAGTTCAGAATCAGCATGTATAATTCTGAGACAAGCAGGAGTAAAGTTCATGAAGTCCCGAGGCCCTGCTGAAGCAGCCAGCCAACTAGTCTATGGCTTTACCACAACAGCTGCCTGCAGCCCTGAAACTGACTCAGGCCTCACCTCGGCTGAAGCTACTTGGAGAAAGGTTCAATTCCTACTGAAAGTGAGAAAGAGAAGGGGAGAGAAGAGTAGAAAAGCTGTGGAGTCCAAATTTCAGGAGTGAAAACTGAACATTATACACAGGTTGGGTTACCTTTATAAGTATAAATTGACATTTAATTATCTTAAGAAGCATAATATGTTAGAGGAAGAACACATTTTACAAAATCAACTTTTTTCATAATGTATGCAAATAAATTAAAGAAAACATACTTAAAATTAATTTACTCTAAGCCCTCTGAGAAATGAGTTAGAAAAAGCAAACAGAATGAGGTAGCATAATAAAAATTAATACTTACAGTTATTTTATTATGGTAGAAGTAATTCACTTGACAAATGCTATCATTTTCTTTCTGGATGCTATTTTTAAGTTCTTCTATATTAAAAGGAGTATTTAACCACTCTTCCAAAACCTGAGTCATTTTTTTCCTGTTACTAAATACTTGTAATTCAGTCTTTATGCTGGGGAAGTCATTTTCTGAGAAATCTTTGAGAATTTCCTGTGTGAGAAACATGCACTTTAGCACCTGAACATTAGGAAAATTTTATCCAAATATCATATGAAATATAAGAATATTATAAAAAGGGAAAACATGGATTCTTCTTAATATTTTAAAGTAATCTAAGGCTGGGTGTTGTGGTGCACACCTGCAGTCCCAGCAACTTGGGAGGCTCAAAGCCAGCTTCAGCAACTTAGCTAGATCCTCAGCAATTTAGTGAGATCCTATCTCAAAATAAAAAATAAAGGAGCTGGGAATGTGGCTGAGTGGTTAAGTGCCTCTGGGCTCCATCCCAGGWACCAAAAGAAAAAGAAAGAAAAGAACAACAACAACAAAAAAGTAATCTAAGAAATATAATTCTAACCAAAAACTTTATTCTATTCTAGGATTCCATGGATTCCCATTTACTAAAGTTAAATCTGTTTTTCTGTGCCTATGGAGGTCTGAAAGGAGGCTAGTCCATTATTTGGCAGTTTTTATGTTTGGCTAGTTATTATTCTTCAACCTATTTTTAATTTCTGGTAAATAAAAATAAATAGTTTTAAGCACATGCAAAAGTACTTTTCTACATGATAACAAGGCTAATTAAATCTATTTAAAATAAATTATACCTCAATATGTAGATCCAAACTCTGGTTCAGTTTGGAGTGCCTTAATTCTTTGGATGGTATGTCATAATCCTGTTGAAGGTGTTGTATTTTAATTTGGAGTTCATTTTGCTTTTCCACTTCATCAATAAAAGCTATTTCAAATTTATTGATGGATTCATGTTGTTCTTCTTTCATCTTTGTAATATAGCTTAACACATACTTGTAGAAAAAAAATGAAATAAATCAGAAAATTAATTTTTTTCATGTTTAGAGACTGAGGTGAGAAGGTGTACCTTGTTTATTTATATTCTCTGATAAGTAAATAAGGGAGGAGCCATCTTCTATCTCCAAATTTCTCTTTTTAGAATCATGGGAGAGTAACTTCCAGACCTCTACTTCCATATTTTTGACACCCTACTAAGGGTGTCTTATAAATACCTTAAATTAAATATTTAGAATGTTACATGGTCTCTTTATGTATATATCTTGCTTTTTCTGTTGCCCCTTTTTTGGTTAGTTAAATTGCCAATCACCAAGGATTCCCAGTTAACATCTAAGTAAATCCTCTTCTGCCCACCTTGCTTGGATAACCAATAAAAAGGTCTTTTAAGCCTCAAGATTTCCTTGTTGAGAATCATTAGACATTTAAGCTTCAATATCATATATTCATGGGTCATACAAATAAGTTCTAGATATCTGTTTGTCAAGATTTGTGGAAGGATTTTCAGAACCTAAAGGGGCAGACATCTAACTAGGCAGGAAAGATACCTACTTGTTAATTCCTTAACCTCTCATAATCTGGTGTCTTCCCTAACCGCTTGACTAAAATTACTCTGGCAATGGTCACCAAGAAATCTATTATCATTGAATTGAGGGGACACCTTTGTTTCATAAATATCTGCCACTCTTGGCCACTTTATCTTTGAGGAGCTCCACTCCACTGACTTGAGGGACAGCACTTTTGTTTGCTTCTCTCCTGAATTTTTGATTTTTTTCATACCTGAACATACATGTTACACCCTTTTATTACTGTCTCTTTTGGACATTTATCTTTTTCTGGGTTCTTGTCTTCTTCCAAAGCTTTTATTCTTCTGAGAAGAGATTGAAGAAGCATTTAGCAGCTTGAAATGGTTATGTCTAGGTGATTTTTTAATGCTCTCTAGATGACCTTTCTGTACTTCTTGTCACCTATATGCTGATGAGTCCCAAATCTCCTGACTTTTATCCTGCCAAACCTCAGACTGACAGTTAAATGCCTACATGGTTTCTCTTCTTAGATGTCTCATAGGTATTCTAACCTTGAAACATCTAAACTAAACACCTGATCTCTCCAGCATCACATACCTGATTCTCTTCCTTTTCTCAGTTAATCCTATCTTACACACATGGATAATCACAAATCTTGGAACTCCATCCAAACTTCTCTCCCTATTTCCATTATAAATCACCTGGACATACCATTTCAAGCTGCTAAATGCTTCTTCAATCTCTTCTCAGTCCCTATTTAACTTTCCCTAGTAGTATAGTAACACATATTATCTCATCTGGACCATTGTAATTGCCCCTTATTTCTCTCTTCTTCTAAGCTTATCTCCCTCAAATTCATGCTTTTTTTTTTCTGCAATGAAGTACCTAAATGTTAATCTCATCTGTTACTACTGCTACTTTAACTGTCTTTTGGCTGTCTGTCTTCTACAAAACAAACTCCAAAATTTATTGCTTGAATTTGGCTTCCACTATAGTCTAATCTTCTGTAAATTCTTACATGTGACATGTCATACAACCTGCATATACCTCTATCACTGCACTCATTACCTTTTTATATGTCTGCCTTACCAGATTAAGAGATCTTTGATATGACTCATCTGTCTTCTGAGTACCTGGACAGTATCTAGGCACAAAGGCAAAGCTCATTTTTTTTTCCAAAGCTCAGTTTTTATTGAATGAGTAGATACTAGAAACACTAAAAATCCTAAACTTACTGTTCTCAGACCTATACAATATTTAAATTTAATAAGTAAACTAAATAGCAAATATGACAACTCCTAAAATAGTACTTAAGTACATTAAAATTTGTAACTGAAATTTAGAGTAGTATTAATAAGATACTGGTACCTTTAGTTTCTTTATGACTCTATGGAATTCCATGGAACATCTCTGGTTTGCAGCAAAAAGTTTTTGGATCTGTTTTGTTTGTGGGTATGGAAGTAAGAGGTTTGCTTTTACTCTAATTGAAAGATCTTTTTGGGTTTCAATTTCCTTCTCTAAGTCAAAAGACAATTTATTCAAGTACTCATAATGATTATCCATCTCTGAGTATCTCTGCAGCAGCTCCTGAAATTAAAATTCATTTGATTTAACAATAAATAGTCCCACTAGTAAAACTGTAAGAACACTTATATTTTAACACTTTCTACAAGAAAGAAATAAATCAAGACATTTAAACAAATGGAAACATTATTGATTTGGGATTATAGAAATAATATATGATTATAATGAAAATTTTTTACAAGTTGGCCAATATAACAAACCCGGAAATAACCACTGTTTTAATTTTGATGCATTCTCATTTAGTCTTTTGAATATTCATGATTTGAACGAGTACTGGGAAAGTCTGAAGAGAAATTTGAGTGAACTCAAACCCCATCAATTCTGACCTTACTTCTCACTAGCTTTTCTCATTCTTGGTGTTACTCGAACCCACCAGACAGGCTGGCTGCCTCAGGAGCTTTGTTCATTATTCCCTCCATCTACTTCGTGCTTGTCTCAAATACCTGCACAATTTAATCCTTGGCCTCTTTCACGTATACACTTGAGGCCTTAAAAAAAACCACAAACTCCGATTGTTTTGTTTATATATGTACATAGGTGGGTGTACATATGCATACCTATACTAGGTTATAATGTTTAGAAAAGTACCAGGCATTACCTACTCATCCTACACAAGTATCTAAATTCCATCTTAGGCTTCAGGAAGCCTTTGGAAGAGTACCGACATGCATGTGTAGGGAACACTTACTTTTATCCTGAAGCACTTTTCTCTCAGGCTTTCTGTATTGTGCTCTTCTCCATCACACAGTGAACTTCTTTCATATTTTATGATCTCTTTGTGGTTCTGATGATCCTGGTACAGAGAAACAATCAGACATAACTATTCACATATAATGTATAATCATATACTTATTATTTGGAGATGGGATTTGTTATTCATAGTTGAAAATGAGGTTTTAGAATTTCTTTTGGTTCCTTAAACTGAATCTCTGTATTTAAAATTATTGCTGCCAACTAAACATACTAGCAAAGCCACTATCCAAAGTGTCGCAAACACTATTCACATATTCTTTCTCGTAACTGGGAACTGAAAATTCAGATCTTATTTACATTCCACATTTCTCATTAAAAAGTACAAAACAAAAAATTATTTTTTGCCTACTTGTTTATTGTTATCATTACAGTACCCAGAAGCATGACTACCTGTTGAATAAGTATTTGTGTAACGGATTAAAATTCTATAAATTTAGTTATGGCTCATATATAGATGATTCCTAAGCATCTGATATTTCTGCTAAGATTGCAAATGATATTTTTTCTACTTTATTTTGTAGAGCATTCAGTTGGGCTTTTAAAATTATATTATATATATCTACAAATAATCATTTGTAATGTTCATCTTCTCTTTTTTCCTTCTAACCAGCAGTTATGGACCATTTCAAGATTCCTATTAAGAGGTACAGAAGTGGAATATTTAATCTTTTCTAAATCTATCCCTTCAGATATTTCTCTATTTAGAATAATACTATTTTTTATTAAACAAAACTTTAGAAATTATATTACTAAGAATATTTTGCTGTAACAAACTTTTTCTTAAAAATGAAAAGTGATGTTTTCCTGAAAAAAAATTTGGCCCCCTTTAAAAATGTGTTTCCTACTGATATGAAAATTATAGTAAGTTTTCCCACTATCTTTAGTATTCATTGAAAATTCTAAGAAAAAGCCAGGCACGGTGGCACACGTCTATAATCCCAGCAGCTGGGAAGGCTGAGGCAAGAGGATTATGAATTCAAAGCCAGCCTCAGCACCTCAGTGAGGCACTGAACAACTCCGTGAGACTCTGTCTCAAAATACAAAATAGAGCTGGGGATGTGGCTCAGTGGTCTAGTGCCTCTAAGTTCAAAATCCCCAGTATCAAAAATAAGAAAATTCTAAGGAAAAAACACCCATATTGGCACCCCTTTATAAAGCTTGATTCTTACAGTTACTAGAACTCACTCTAGCTATCATTTTTCTTATGATTTCTCTGAACTGGTCTCTTTCCATTTTGAGACACTCCTTTTTCCTCCTTAGCTCATTGCTTTCTTTAGCTACAGTTCTTATTTCTTCAAGATTTTCATGAAGTTTCTTAGTAGAGCACAAGTTATCCATATCCACAGTTTTCACAGATACATTTTGGGCCTCAATTTGACTCTTCAAATGTTCCATTTCATTCATTTTTTTATCACTTTTATTGACATCTTTATTCATTTTAAGAAGTTGAAGGTCTTTTTCCTGAAGTTCTTGGATCTTGAGATAATTACAAAATAAGTTAGAATGCAAACAGAATTCCTTCATGGAAGGAAAATAGTATCTACTTGTTACATTTGTACATTTATACAAGTTATGTATCCCTCATCTGAAGTGTTTCTGATTTTGAAATATTTGCATAGTTGCTACCAGTTGAGAATCCCTAATTTGAAAATTCAAAATCTGAAAACTTTGAGGCTTATATCAGTGCTCAAAGTATAGATTTCAGAGCATTCTGGATTTCAGATTTTTGGATTAGGGATGCTCAATATATCTATATATTTTCTCATTTCTCAAGTAATTTTGGATACAGTTACTTCCTAAAAAACCCCACAAAAAACATACCTTTTTCTGTAATTCATCTTTTGATTTATCTAAATCTTTTTGAATATTTATAATTTGAGTTGTCTTTACTGAAACTTTCTCTCTGAATTTCTCAATAGTTTGTTGTTGTTCTTTCAAATACATATGAATAAGTTTTAGTTCCTGTTGTGTCTCCAGATCCTTTATTAGAAAAAAGAGAAATGTGATGACATAAAGAAACATTATCTTTTCTTAATCATTAAATGAAATTTGAAAAAAATGCATACTTAGTTAAAAACAACCAATCTGCCATCCCCCAAATTCGAAGTATACAGAAAGATTTAAGGTACAAATTCCTGTCTCTAACCTCCCTCACCTTAGTCCTATTCCTTGCTGACCTGTACCACTTGCTTTTCTCCTTTCCTATTATCCAAACAGTATAACATACTTTCTAATCAGTATCACACAAAAGGTGCTCTTTCCTAGGCTTAGTATTTCATTATAAGACGAACCCCTCAGCCAGTGCCTTATGGGTGAACACTTGAATTGCCTTTAGATTTTGATCACCCCAAACCATGCTGCAGTGAATGCTGTTATATTTTTATTCCAATGTGTGAATATGTTGACATGATAAATCTATATAAGTGGAATTGCTATATCAATGTTTATAATGATAAAATTTCAAAAAGTTAAAAGATTATAACCTTCTCACCAACAGTATCATCTATCTTCAAAGAAGGGAGGTTCTGCCTTACGGATATGCTTACTGGACAGGAAGAATGTGCACAACTCACTTTAGCAATGGTATCCTGCAGGTTTTCCTTGAGTTGGTCTCTCTCCAGCTTGAGCATCTCCTCTGATCGTCTTATATTATCTCTCTCTTTCATTACAGATTTCATTTCTTCGAAGTTATCTTGAAGATTCTGAGCCAAATTACCCAGAGTTAAACCTTGATCCTTGAGTTGTTTCTGTATCTCACTGACATCTTCTTTTAATTTAAAAAGTTTCTGTTCATTTCCCTTAAGCTTTTGAATCTTAAGATAATCATAATATAATGTTAGGTTACAGATTTTTAGGGAAGGACAAGGAATAGTCTCTAAGTTAATTAAGACTATAGCCCCCCTTTTTATAATCATTAACACCCTGCATAAACCCACACAAAATTAATTTTCTTTTGAGGTACAATATACAAAAAGTACCCTATAATCATGTTTGTAGTTCCATTTATTCTTGACACATGCATACACCTATAAAACTACAATCCATATCAAGTCAGAGAATATTTCTGGCATTCCCTAAAGAGCCTGTGAACCCCTTCCCTAGAGGTAATTGCTATTGGGATCTTTATCATACTTGATCAGTTTTACCTACTTTTGAACCTTCCTAAGAGTGTATTCTCCTGATAATAGGTATTTGTTTTCAAGTTCCCCACCATTTTGGATAAAGCTGCTACAGACATTCTTGTAAATATCTTTTTAGAGATGTTATTTAGTCTTTTCTATTAGGTACATAACCTAATATGGGTCTTATGGCATTTAGTAAATACTGACAAGCTGTTTCTGAATATGGCCCATCCATCTCATATTCTGAAGATTTCAAACACAACAAATCAGATATTCAATCAAAACCCCCACAAAATATCTTTTCTTATAATCTGGCATTTGAATTTTCTAAATCTATTTTCATATTTGTCATTTCATCTGTCTTCTCAGAAACAATTCCTCTGAGTTTATTAATAGTTTCTTGGTGCTCGTTCAGATCCATGTGAGCAATTCTTAGTTCTTCTTGCTTTTTCAGATCTTTTAAGAACAAGGTCATATCTTATTGTTAACTACTTTTTTTTTTTTTTTTTTTAGTGAAGTGATATATTTTCTTAGTAAAAATAATAATGCATTTACTTCTTAATTTACATCGTTGTTGTTACAAAAGTTAAAGACTTTCTCTTACTGTCCTTATCCCTCCACACTCTACTCCTCTTTTAGAAGTAAACACATTACACATACTACTTAACAGCTGGATTCCTCCACTTCAGGGTTATCTTGGACTTCCAAATAGGATGTTAAAATCCGTTTCACTTTTTGTAGGGCTGAACAGGATTTTGATATATGGCTCATATTTACCCAGTTTCCTTAGGAGGAACATTTAAATTGTTTCCCACTTTTATTACAAACTACTACAATGAACAACCTTGTGGTGTTGTGGTGTACATATGTGTACGTATGTTTGTGTGTATATATTTATTTAAGTAATTGAGTCAGTATACATGTAGGATAAAATCTATGAAGAAAATGCTGGTTATATAACTTAAAGTTTTTAAGAAAAAGAATACAAAATTATCTGCTTAAAAGATTATCATGTCGCTCTTGCCAACAATACCACTTGTTTCAAAGAAGGTTCATTGCTCTAAGAAAACATTTATTTGCTAGCAAGAAGAATGAGTGTAACTTACTTTTGCTTCTGTTTCTCTAAGGTTTTCCCTCAGCTTGTCTCGTTCCACTTTGAGAGTTTCCTCCACAATTCTTAGGCCATCATTTTCCTCAGTAAAAAGTTTCAGTTTTTCAAGGCTCTCAGTTATTTTCTGAGTCAACATTAACTTCTCTAATTCTAAACTCTCCAGAGCTGAGTTCTGAGCTTCCAGTTGTTTCTTCAGTTGCTCTGTTTCATACACATTTTCCTTCAGGTCATTTTTTACTTTAAGAAGTTGATGTTCTTTCTCTCGAAGTTCTTGGATCTTGAGATAATCAGGCAATAAGTTAGGATATTGAAGATATAAATAAAAACCCAAATAATAGCTTCAAAGTTGAGTAGATAAATCTTGTCTTCAATTTTAGGCTAATTCATGTCCTGTTTCATTATACAAAAGACCTGATTTGAACTCCTAGTTACTCAAATAACAACTTAAAAGAAAATACCTGTGCTTTTATGGCAGTCTTTGCATTTTCTAAGTTCATTTGCATATTTAATATTTCATCACTTTTTTCAGAAACAGTTCTTTGGAGTTTATCAATAGTTTCTTGGTGCTCTTTCAGATCCAAGTGAGCGATTCTTAGTTCCTCTTGTTTCTCTAAGTCCTTTATTATTAGAGGAAGAAAAAATATCAAGAGTAACACAATTAAAATGCTATAGTAAGATAGAAGGTAAGAAGTAAAAGTYCTCCTTAACCTTTATAAGGCTTCCCAGTCTTCACCCTTTAAGCTACTTCAGAATGTCAACACTTGCTCTGGATATATTCTACAATAGAATAAATTTCTGTTGCTGTAAGCCACCAAGGTTATGGTAATTTCATATGCCATCCCTAGGAAACTGATATAGGCTGATCAAGACGATAAAGTAAAAATGTAAAAATAAAGTTGAAAGGCACAGATACTAAGCATTTAAATATAGGCACCAAATAAATAATTCTCCTTTATCTTAAAAAACTTTTAAAATTTATTTTCATTTAAATTTTTAGCTGTCAATGGACTTTTATTTTATTTATTTATTTATATGTGGTGCTGAGAATCAAACCCAGTACCTTACACATGCTAGGCAAGCCACTGAATCACAACCTCAGCACCTTATTTTCAATTTTAAGTAAGAAGGAGTGGCCTAAAACAAATTCAGAGGCATTAACTTCCAAGGCTGTTGACTTCACTTCCTTAGGAGGAGTAAATTAGACATAAGGTTTTTTAACAGATTCAATCAGACGACATAGGGAAAGGGAAAGGGATTTGGCTTAAAAGAAAATATAGATTAGGAAAAAAATACTACAGAGACAGGGAAAGGGAGAGGGATTTGGCTTAAAAGAAAATATAGATTAGGAAAAAAATACTACAGAGATAGGGAAAGGGAAAGGGATTTGGCTTAAAAGAAAATACAGATTAGGAAAAAAATACTACACAATAGAACAGAAACCACAGCATATTATCTATAATGCAAGTGGCACTTAAATAGACCTCTGTGGTTGTATTTAAGAATCACTTGGACAGTATGGTTGTTACAGGAGCCTTGGGTTTTATACATGCATTGCACCATCCTACCTCCACGAAAGGAGTGATTTGGGAAACTACAAACATCTTAGTGATGGTGATAGTATTAAGCCTTTCATTTTAAAGAACAACAAATATATCTTCATATGGGGAGGATCTTTGTTTTGTTGACTAATGTCTCGTAAGTGCCTAGGATGATGCCTGGCCCATATAGTGTTCAACAAGTATTTGACTGATGACTACATCAGATGATTAGTTTAAAAGATCAAGGTCCCTTCTCACCTAAAGACTCTGGAATAATGTAACCTGACAAGAAATGTTAGTTAAGATTCTGTGAATTGAAACTTCAAAATACCGGAATGAAGATCTGTTCTTTTGCAAATATAATGTGCTATTCTTGCATTTAGGCTATGGGAATCAAAAACTATTACCAAAAATGTTTAATCAAGAAAAATGGCTAGGAAGATAACTTAAAAAAAATTTACCTTTTCCTTTAGCTTTTCTTCAAGTTCTGCCAGTCTCTCACAGGTCTTAGAAAGCTCTTTGTCTTTCTTCATGATGTGGTTCTTTTCTTGTGCAACTATCTCTTGTTGCTTTTTAAGTTCATCTTCAAGAATTCTTAATTCTTCCTGGTTTTTAATGGTCTAGAATAAAACAAGAAGTTGGGATTAAAACAAATAATATTAGCTTATATTTATGAAACCAGGTAAAAATCGGCATTTACCTCAGACTATAAATGAAGAAACTATATAGTAAAACTATATAGTAAAAATGAATTTAAAAGAAAGTGAATCTTTAATCATGTAAATCTTTAATCATAGAGAATCTGCTTTTTATGTTCAATTATTATTGCTCAGTTTATATTCCTATGAGAATTAGAATTGGATTTACCATTCAATCAAGAAAGTTTAGCTCATTTTCTGTGCCTAAACTCAAAAAGACTGCTAAGTGTTCACTGACTGAGTTTTTCACATGAAGCATTAGCTTTGGTTTTGAGCACTATCATCAGCAAACTCAAAATGGTAGCTGCCCTTTGTAGCACTATGAAGGCTAACTTGTCATTAAGCTTGCACAGTGGCATTCTCATGTATCAAGACCACAAAACAACATGCCAGAGTTAGAATGTAATTTTTGTTTATTTAATTTATGCTTATTTATATTTAGCAATTTTGACAGAGCAGACTTTTCCAAGAAACATGAAAAATTAGAAAACACAGATCCCTACTGCGATCTATAGAGAATTTCTCCAATTATCAATTCAACCTGTACAGATTATACTTCCTCCAAACAAAGATACAAAAACTAAACTAGGTGTGAAGATATTGGCAAATGCCAACAATTAAAAATAAAGTAAAAAATTACAACAGTAAGAGAAATACTTAGGATCAAATTTAATAAAATAAGTAAAAGGATTGTAGACTAAAAACCTGTAACACTGTATTGAGAGATAGATAAATTATAGAAGACATCTAAAAGCCAGTTAGTATATGAAAAAGTGTTCAGCATCTTTAGTCATTAGGGAAAAGCAAATCAAAACAACACGACATGTATTCATTAGAGTGGCTAAAATTAAAAGCACCAGTAAATATGAAGTGTTGGTGAGGAAGGATGTGGAGCCACCAGAATTTTCTCAATTTGCTGATATGAACGTAAAATGGTAAAACTCATCTGGAAATCAGTCTAGCAAATTCTAATTAAGCTAATATACATTTCCCTATGTCCCAGAAACTCCATTTAGTGAGTACACAGGCAGAAACATTTGTCAAAAGTCACCGAACTGTATACTTCCATGAGATACATATAGCGCTTTAAACTTCCATGAGATACATATAGCGCTTGTAGAATATATCTCAATAAAATTGATAAAAATCTAAAACAAAGACAAAAATGTTATCACCAAGTTTATAGTGCTAAATCTTACCATTTCAATATTTTCCTTTAGGTCAGTCTTTAGTTGTTCCTTTTCTGCTGTAATACTTTCCAACATTTGTTGGAGTTCATTTTTTTCCTGTATTAAAGAACAGATCATTTTCTGTTGCTCAGTCACATCACTATCCTTAAGGTCTCCAATTAATGCCTGGCTTGTTTTAGCTTCCAAATTCTGTTTCTTATTTATGTCTCCTACCTAAAATAGAAATACATTAAAGATTTTTTTAATTTGTTCTAATTAGTTATACATGACAGTAGAATGTATTTTTTTTTTTTAGGAGAGAGAGAGAGAGAGAATTTTAATATTTATTGTTTAGTTTTTGGCGGACACAACATCTTTGTATGTGGTGCTGAGGATCGAACCCGGGCCGCACGCATGCCAGGCGAGCGGGCTACCACTTGAGTCACATCCTCAGCCCAGTAGAAGGTATTTTTTTTTTTTTTTAAAGAGAGAGTGAGAGAGGAGAGAGAGAATTTTTAATATTTATTTTTTAGTTCTCGGCGGACACAACATCTTTGTTGGTANTCGGCGGACACAACATCTTTGTTGGTATGTGGTGCTGAGGATCGAACCCGGGCCGCAAGCATGCCAGGCAAGCGTGCTACTGCTTGAGCCACATCCCCAGCCCAAGTAGAAGGTATTTTGACAAATCATACATAAATGGAGCATAACTTCTCATTTGTCTGGTTGTACATGATATAGTTATACAGGTCGTGTAATCATATATGTATTAATGCCCCATTCATTCTATTATCATTTTTACCCCCATGCCTCTTCCCCTCCCTTCACTCCCCTCTTTCTGGTCCAAAATATCTCTATCCCCCTCCTCTCCCCATTGTGAATTAGCATCCACATATCAGAGAAAACATTTGGCTCTTGGTTCTTTGGATTGACTTATTTGGCTTAGCATAATATTCTCCAGTTCCATCCATTTAGCAGCAAATGCCATAATTTCATTTTTCTTTAAGGTTGAATAATATTACATTGTGTATATATACCATAGGTTTTTTAAACCTTTATTTTATTTATTTATTTTTACGTTGTGCTGAGGATTGAACCCAGAGACTTGCACATGGTAGGCGAGTGCTCTAACACTGAGCCACAAACCCAGCCCCTATATACCACAGTTTTAAAGAAGAATTTCTTAAGTAGTCAATAACAATCACTTTAACATTAAACAAACACCTAACTATCATGTATATTATGTACCAGGCATTTCTCTCATATTTTAACACATTTAACTTTTACTACAACTTTGAGGTAGATATTATTAATATCTGCATTTGACTGATGAGAAAGTTGGATTATAGAGGGGTAAAGTCACTTACTCAAGGTGATACAGAAAGAGGAATAGCCAGACTCAAGGGTCTGGCTCCAGAGCTTGTGAATTTTGACCTGTTCACTGATGAGAACTATCTGGACAACTATAAATATTATAATTATTTTCACGTATGATATTTTAACCTGATTTATGTATATTCATTTACTTCAAACCAATTATAAAATTAAAAGACAAATCCCTTTCCTTTCTATATATCTTCCATAAATATTGCATAACTTTCACACTAGAAGTATTTTTTCTTCTAAAGAAGGAAGAAGCAACTCTAAACTTAATCTCTTTATTTTTCCCCATCTGAGTCATCTCTAGCTCCTACTTCTAGTAAAGCTTCATTGTTCAGAACTGTTTACTTACAAAAATCATAAGTTTTATTATAAGCAGAGAATAAAATTTTGATAGAAGCTCATCTCTTTTTGTAAAAGTGTAATACATCTTTTCTCAATGTGTTTTTACATTATGCATGTTATAATAATTTATTAATGCATAAATAAGTCATAACCAAATGTAACCTAATGAACTTTTTGGTAAAGGAAAACAAAGACTGACACTACAATTGTTTGTATGAAATTATGGAACCATTCAGCTTCATATTGACCACACTCTACAAGTTTCTATAATATCTCTAATCACATAGCTATTACGTTTAATTCATACGGTCTGTAAAAGAATACAAAGCAGACTGAAATAGTCTTTGTAATGATACTCAAAGTACATTTCAAATCTGAACCCACTCTAGAAAGTATTTCAGCTACTATGGTTGGTTGTAAGTACAATCTAATAGACCTAATTATTTAAAAAAATGTCATTTATATGAGATGAAGTTCACTAATTGCAAAATTTAAAATTTCTATTGAGATCAACTAAAGAAAGCTAGATTTCCAGAAAGAGACACAAACAGGATTGAAAATGACTCCTTTAAGTGGATTTAGGATAGATCTATCACAGCAGCCTTCTGGTTCCCAGGTAAACAGAGTGCCCCTAGGAATCCCCAGACCTACTCATTATTATATTGTTAATTCCAACATGAACATGATACCATAAAGCACAGGAAGCAAAAGTTAAAATAGATAAATTTGAGTACATCAAAATTAAAAATCTACTTGAGAATAGAATACTGGTTGAAATAAGAACTTTTACAAAGAACACTTGAAGACTGCAGTAGTTAATATTTTGCTTGCTTTTTCCCCCCCTTTTCCCTCACATCCTCTTATATGTAATTTTGTATAACAATCAGGGTATCCTTCCATTTCCATGTAATTCCCCTTCTCTCTCCCTTTCCCTCCTACCTCTCGTCCCTGTTTAATGGTAATCTACTTCTCATGCTCTTCCTCTGTGCTCTGTTTTGAGTTGCCCTCCTTATATCAAAGAAGACATTCGGTATTTGTTTTTTAGGGATTGGCTAGTTTCACTTAGCATAATCTGCTCTAATGCTATCCATTTTCCTGCAAATGCCATGATTTTGTTATTTTTTAGTGCTGAGTAATATTCCATTGTGTATAAATGCCACATTTTTTAAAATCTATTCATCTACTGAAGGGCATCTAGGTTGGTTCCACAGTCTAGCTATTGTCAATTATGCTGCTATGAACATCCATGTAGCTGTACCCCTATAGTACGCTCTTTTTAGGTCTTTGGGGAATAGTCCGAGAAGGGAAAGGAGAGAAATGAATTACAGTAGATGGGGTAGAGAGAGAAGATGGGAAGTGAGGGGACAAGAGGGAGGATAGGAAGGGGATAGGAAAGGTAGTAAAATACAACAGACACTAGAATGGCAGTATGTATAAACGTGGATGTGTAACCAATGTGATCCTGCCATCTGTACACAGGGTAAAAATGGGAATTCATAACCCACTTGAATCAAATGTATAAAATATGATATGTTAAGAGTATTGTAATGTTTTCAACAACCAATAAAAAATAAAAAAAAATAAAATAAAATATTATTTTATTGGAAAAAAAATATTTGATTTTGGAAATTATCTCAGCCTTTGTTCCCCTTTTCCTTCTAATGGCTGCTGATTTTGCTCTTGATCATTTTATACTGCCCTATGTGAGCCCTACGTCTGTAATTTTATTGTCAGCTGTCTTAAGTCCAATCTTCTACATTGATAGAGTATATGCTGTTAATTAATAAAATTTATTTCTTGTCTTCCCTCTGGAAAAAAAAAATATTTTGGTTGCTAAATGGAATAAGCCAATCCCACAAAACCAAAGATGAAATGTTTTTCAGGATATGCAGATACTAATTCTCAATAAGCAGGGGAACAGAGTTACTTTAGATTAGGTAGAGGGGAGTAGGTATGGGAATAGGAAGGATAATAGAATGAATCAGACAGTATTATACTATGTACATACATGATTACATGACTGGTGTGATCCTACATCATGTTCAACCAGAGAATGAGAAATTTATTTATGTATGATGTGTCACAGTGCACTCTAGTATCATTCATAACTAATTAGAACAAATTTAAAAAATAAAAGAATRAAATATAATAATGAAAGATTATTACAAATTTCTGTTGATAATATATATCTGAAAGGTATTATGAGGAAAGTAGAAATCTAAAGTAAATAWWACCCTTGTATAAAATTATAGGYAATCCTTTCGGTAACAGATTGAACTGAACTCTAAGCAAGTWTAGTATAGAGAATTCTGAGATAAACTATTTCAGTTATAATAGTCAATCCTCCTTCTTAGCGTTCAGAAGTTCTTTTAAAGATATTTAAAATACATCAAATCTCAGAAAACATCAGCTCTTCAAAGTTTGAACCAATACTTTTTTTGCCCTTTGCTCTTCAAATTGTAAGGGAAGTTATTTCAAAGAGAGAGTAGAGTCTTATAAAACTGTGAGTTATTACCATTGTGAATAACAAATAAAATTGAAATTACCATTACATATTAGATGTTGGGAGGTCAAAGAGAAAAATCTGAAATTAAATAACCTGTACCTTTTGCTGAAATTCATCTTTAGTTTTTCCTAGATTTTCTTCTAAAAGTGAGTTCCCAGAAGTTTCCTCAGATTTTTTCATTTTTAGTGTATTAATTGTTTCTTGGTATTGTTTCAAAGACTCGAGAGCACTTCGTAACTGTTCTTGTGAATCTATGTTCTTGTTGAAGAAACAGAAAACAATTTCCATTTTATAGTGACAGTTTAATCATAGATAAGCAGTCTTATCAATGATGGCTCCTGTACCATGTTTGAAGAGGCTCCAATATTTGTAAAGTTTAATCATTCAAAGCCTTACCTGATTTATAGTGTCTTGAATATCACTTTTGAGTTGGTCTCTCTCAATCTGCAGGCTCTCCTGGAGTTGTTTTAGGTCATCTTTTTCTTGGGTTAAGGTTTTCACTTCTTCTAAGGCTTTCTGAAGTTTCTCAGTGATCAGTGTTGTCTCCTTTTCTACAGCTTGCAGCCTAGAATCTCTGCTTTCTAATTGTTCCTTCAGTTGTTCCATTTCATTTAACCTTTCTTGACCCTCAGTTGTTTTCTGCTGAAGCTCTTGAGTTTTGTGAGAAAGCTTTAAAATAAGAAAAAGTAAATATGACATAGTAAAAGCAGAGTTTGCTGTAGAAGATAGAAATCAAACTCAAGAAGACTGAAGATCATGTCTTTGGATATCATTTTGTACTAACCTCAGTCTTCAAAGCATCCAAACTTAAACCAAGATTCTCTGCTTCTTTAGAAAGATTTCCTATTTCCTGATTCATTCTCTCATTCTTTTCAAGGACCATTTTATATTTTTGCTCACATTCTAAATGAAGGGTTTTAAAATCTTGAAATTCTTGCTCAGTGCTTTTATAATTCAACTGGGTAGTTGTTAGGTCATCTTTAGTTTTTTCAATTTCTTCCAGTAAACCTTGAATTCTACTCTCCTTATGAGCTACTTCAGAAAACAATTTGTCTTTTTCTGATGTTACTATAGAGAGCTCTTCAGATTTTTCATGGATCTATGGAAAAAATTTAGGGAGGTTAGCAATGTATGATCTGCTGAATCAATTTTCAGGAAAACAAGTTTTCCTCTGGGGGAGGGGATCATTTAAATCAAGCAAAAATTTGACTGGGGAAAGGCAATATTCTTACTGTTATTTCTCTACCCTGGCCTGTTTAACTTTACCTTTAATGTTTTGTTCTCTAACGTCTTTGGGTTCTAGTAAGGATTGCATGGAGAAGGTCAACTAGTAGAAACAAGTAGGGTGTGTCTTTATGTCCTTAGCTGTCATTCTAAAGTATTATGTGGCAGCAGGCATTTTATGTTTTTTTCTCAGAATTTGACCTCTTTTAAAAAAAAGGTTTTGAATGCAGCTCAGATTTCTAAAAATTCAATCTATTTATAATTTAAATGATGTTTTATTATTAGAATTATCTAAAATGCATTATTAAAATAATTAAGTAACCCACATCCAGTTCATGGATACTTTAATAATTGTGAAAATAWGCTAGGAAGGAGATGAGAAGGTGGAAGGAGACTAAAGGAGAAACAAAGGAAAGAAGGTAATATAGCATGGTGGCTACATTCATGGCAGATWTCTGTCACTCAACTATTAGTTTGAGAACTATTTTTTTTTGGATGAAAAGTAGCACCCTCAACCCTTAAAACCCATCAAAGGGGGTGTGGCTACCAGCACAGTTCTGCGGCTTATCCAGGTACCCGGTTTCCAACTCCCCCACCCTTAGCTGGGATAACTCAAAATATTTCCCACAAGCTTTTGGGGATTGTAGCTATCAAAGCAAAACAACAACTGCACAGGCACCTGGTTTCCACCTCAGAGACTAGAGTAGGGAAGATACAGGTGGAAGCTCATTTTCTTTCACACTGGCTATATCCACCACCCTGAATACAGAGGCTAAAGCTAGGAACAGACAATGCCACCTCCTGGAAGCAAGGAAAACAGTGTTCTGAGAAACGTTTTTTTTTTTTTTCTTTCTCTCTTTTCTTCTCTTTCACAACCTGAATATATGTGAAACCAAGAACTGTGCATGAACAACTGAATCACCAAAATAACATAATATAGAGGAATTACATTTACCCCAGCTTCCCCCCATTTTTTTCTTTATTTCTATCTTACTTTCTTTTTCCTTCTCTCTTATTTCTCTTTTCTTCCTTGTTATTTTTTTTCTTTTATTCATTCGTATTCCTTCTATCCCACTTTCAACCTCCTAACTTTTGCTATCTATACACAGGGTAACTATCTAAATACAGATAGGAGGTTGAGTCTCTACATTCTTTCATAAATTACCAGTCTATTGGTTAGAGTTTTCCAAAGTTGCTAAGTTAGTTTAACCTCATACTCTCACTCCTTTCCCTCTAAGTATAACATCCTTCGTCTGAAAGTAAGTTTTCTATATGCCACCAGATATGGTAGGCCTTTTATGAAACTAGTGACTATATTCTTAAATAATAATTGAAACCTCAGCACCACATACAAACAAAGATGTTGTGTCCGCCAATAACTAAAAAATAAATATTAAAA